GTTTCTCCAATCTATATCATTTCCAAAAAATCATAGAAGACCTTTGGCCCATCACAATTCCTTTCTATGAACATGTCTCTGCCCAGTGACCAGTGCTGGCTTCATTAAAGAAGGTTCGAACCATGAGCAAAACGCTAGGGAGTTTTGAATTAAAGAGACAAGACTCTAATTACCTTTAAACCAGCTCCAGAAAGGCTTCTCCTAGCTCCAGCCTCCGGCCACCTAATGCRGTAGCGAGGTTTACTGAAGAGGCTAGCGAGACAGAGAGAGAACACTCCAGGGAGTGGACTTTCATTGGAGAACAAAAAATTCCAGGGAAAATCCCATCCAATGAAGGTTAAGAGGGGGCAGCATCTCAAGATCATGGGCGATGATTGGGTCTTCAGGGCAGTGGCCAGACATGCCTCTGCATGGACAAGCCCTCTGACCTGGAGAAGGGAGGGGAAAGCTCTGACACAGCTGTGTCTAAGCACCTCTCACCCAGCCAGGGAGGTAACTCAAATCATGTGCAGGGGTGGCCTCCCACACATGTCTTCCAAAGCACTTGATACAAACATTTAAAAGTATGCTAGCACTCATTTGCTTCCATAGGCATTAAGAACTTTTATAGTATATGTTAAACTTTGAGGAAACAAGTACAAATAAGAAAGGAACCTCTTGCCTTTGAGAAGTAGCTGTCCTATCTAAAATCAGGTTACAACAAAGACTCAATTATTACACATCTCTTGTCAGCAAAGGTTACTTTTCAGTTTTCTAAATGTACTTTTTATCACTGAATTTTACATCCATTTGCAAAGTTAAATTAGCAGATAACAACTGAAAACAACATTTTAGCAATCTGTCAATTCATTCAAAACAGGTATCTGTCAGCACGCAAGTAGCAGTGCCAGCTGGTGAGCTAAAATTATATCTTCTCAATTGTTATTCCGACATGTCAAGAAAAGCTATCCAAAATAATATAATCACCTGGCTTGAGAATTTCCACAATTTCAAAAATGTTGGATGGTGGCTACTAGGAAAAAAAAATATAGGCAACATTGCATCTGAATATGTTCAGGGACTAAGAATATAAACACTTGCTTTTTCTTTGGAAGGTCAAGTGCATCATTTCTAGGTTCTTGAGGAATGGTGCACTACTTTCAGGATGACCAGGAGAGTATGTCTCAAGCTGGCTGTATCAGGACACCAGATGGATGTGCATCATCCTTGTCTCTCAGCAAGGTGACCCAGGAGCTGCCTCTCACCCAGTCTCTCCATTCTTCAGCAACAGTGCCRAAACAGATCTCAGCTGCTTATCCTCCTTGGAAGTGTAGAATTTATTTTCAGGGCAAGTCATGTTTCACTGTATATAAATAATTTGGAAGTGAAACCTCTGTGGCTGATTCTTGTCTTGGTTGACACACCTTGTTGTCTTTTGAGTTGGAGGATTAAAGGACCACAGGTATTAGTGTTGACTGTGCAAACATATCTTGGAGAATTTCATCTTAAGCATTTTTTATTATTAATTGGAAAAAAAAGGTATTTTGAAAAATACACAATGAAATCTCAGGCTGGTACTCTGCATATCTTTTACATATCAGAAATTTATGTTTAAACTGTTCCTTAGATATCTCTCAAAGGGAGYTTTTGCACAGTTTTTTTCATTCACCAACATTGCAGCTGGGCATGAATTTTTAAAGAAAAATAAGACAAATCAGATCCTATTTTTTTTWAATCTTAAACATTTTGAGTGTTTCTGGTATCTGTATATCACTTAATTCTTGTTATTCTTGTCAAAAATCTATAGTTTCAAATACATATGGTTTCAAAGATAAACGTAATTTTTCTCTTATATTTATTACCAAATAAACCTTCATTGTGAATGAGGATAATAGTAACAGGATGATTGCAAATTTAAATCTATTAATCCATTGAAAATCAGCAGACGGTAACAGCTAATATTTGATTATAAAAATCTCGTATGATGTTTTAATATTATAGTCATAGTAATGTGATTCTAATTCTCATTTTTGAACTCCTCGGTGCTTTCTGTGCTTCTGCCTTTTCATTTTCCCACCACTTCCCACATATTGTTTATGATCAGTTATATCCCTGAAACAAGGAATGTTTAAAAGAAATAGGAGAAGCTTGATAACATATTGTGGCCTCTGAAGCCAGTTTATCCAGGTTTAAATTCTAGTCTAAATAATTTTGCACTCAAATATAAATCTGTTATTTATACACATGCACATAGTATTTATGTATATATAGTGCATATGTATCTTAGATATGACATATAAGTGATATATGTTAAAATGTACACATACATATGTATTTGTAACTGAAAGAATATAATGCATAGAGATATTTATATGGACATAAATTGTTTTTTATGCATATATTCTCATATAGATATTTATCATTACTTGTACTAGCTAGTATACATACTAATATATTTGGACAAATAGATGATAAGCATCTATCACTATATACGTATATACACATATTTATCCAAGTAAAATTSTCCTCTATATATATGTTGTTTGTGATCGATCACTTAGAACAATAAAGAGCCTTGGATAAGTTCTTAAGTGATTTTGACTATTACTATCAAACATCCTCATATAAAATCAAGAGCTGCCTAATAAKARTGGAAAGAATAGAATTAAATACAATGAATTTATATAAAACCAGAGAATTTAAAACACAAAGTAAAAAACCTCTTGATCTATGTTATTTTATTATATTGGCAGCACACAGTAATTTGTAGGTAGGAATGAGTGAATACCAAAATATGGAAATTTGTTTCCAAGTGAGTACTTTGTAGAATAATTATTTTGTCTCTGAATTATTCTATTCACAAACTAAAAAATTCACAATGACAATTTTTTTTTTCCCGTGGGATGTCAACCAATGCAATTCACTTCCCTTTTTGTTATGTGGTATGTTAGATCTAGAAAAGTAGAGGAAAATAAAAATACACTTATTTTTAAAAATTTACCTCGAATCAGGCATGGTGACACATGCCTGTCATTCCAGTGGCTTAGGAGTCTGAGGCAGGAGGATCCCAAGCTTGAGAGCAGGGTCAGCAACTAAGTGAGGCCCTAAGCAACTTAGCAAGACCCTGTCTCAAGATTAAAAAAAAAAAAATGGCTGGGGATGTAGCTCAGTGGTTAATCACCCCTTGAGTTCATTAGCCACTTCGAAAGAAAGAAAGAAAGAAAGAAAGAAAGAAAGAAAGAAAGAAAGAAAGAAAGAAAGAAAGAGAGTGGGTAGGGAGAAAGGGAGAGGGAGGGAGGGAAAAAATTGCTTGGCAAAAATGCCTCTTTAAAATGTACCTGGAAAGAAAAAGTCCATTTAATAGACTCTTATCTTTCCCCTGACCCTTAGGCACCTTGGTTCTCATTGCCCATTGTGATTCTGCAGTCTCAGTTAATAGCTTGTTTGCCTCAATCTCCTTTGAACAAATACACTTCCAGTATTATTTCATTTAATGGTGGAATGTAAGTTTCACAGAGAATCACAGGTGATGTTTCAAAATAAACACGCAGAAGTTCAGGTCAATTTGTTCTGTACCTCCTTACCTTTGGTGTTAATATTACACATATTTTTTAAGGGTTTGGAAAATAATAATAGAGAACAAGATCTATAATCTCTGTGATTTTTTTCACWTTATGTGATCTCCCCATGGATTTTAAACTTGACAAAACAATATACACCATTATAATTGTATCATTGAAAGGCATAGAATTTAAAAGTATAAGGGAGCTCAAGAGATTAGAAATAACTGAACCAGATTTTCCATACAGAGTTGCCAATATCTTGAAACAGTATTTCCTTTAGTTTTGCTTTAAGTGATCTTCTCCATATTGGAAAGAAATGAATTACCAAGATTCAAAGTGAGCAGGAAGCATATACATGAGAAAGGGTTCTTATATGAAGTTAAGATATGTTAAAATTGGCCTTCATTTAGAGTCTTTGAAAGGAATTGTGTATGTGGTCATGTCTGTGGCAGAGAATGGTGGTTCCATAKAACATTGAGGACTCAAGATGGACCAATGGCCTTTTGTTCTTCCTGCTATTCAGAATAACAGAGTCTCTCATGCCTACATCCTTCCAATAAGCAATTCAATCAGTGACACTGTCAGACTGCTCATCTACATATTTTTTTTTTTTAGTTCCTCCAAGCATTTGGATGCTAAGGATATTCAATTTCAAGAAGTCTAAATTAGAAAATAACTGAGAATTTTTAAATCTTTCAAAATTTCTGAATTAAAAAAATTTAAAAAAAACTTCTGAATTGAGATAACAGATCTGAAAGTGTCTGTTTATTTATTTGTCACCAGTAAAGCTGATCACTGTATCCTTCTCATCAAACTCATGTCTTGATGTTTGGATCTTTGTCTCTTTTACCCTGTCTCAGACATTTTAATGACAATGACCTTAGAAGTTGTTCATGTTTCTGTCAGAATTGTTCCTTATATCAGCCTAACAGTAAATGAATTTATGAAGAGCAAGAGATTCTGATATTTTGAAGATATTCTGATATTCCAGAATTTGGAAGCATACTTTATTCTGAATTAATTAATACACCAATCATTATTTCAAAGAATATATAAAAATAAAGTTTGCATTTAAGTAATGTCCTCCATCTGAGGATTTGTCACTGGTATACAGAAATGCCTTTGATTTATGGGTGTTGAATTTATATATTGCTATGTTGCTGAATTCATTTACTAGTTCTAGAATTTTTCTTGTGGAATTTTTAGGGTCTTCCAGGTATAGAACCATATCACCAGCAAATAGTGATAATTTGAGTTCTTCTTTTCCTATGTGTATTCCTTTGATTTCTTTTGTCTGTCTAATTGCTCTGGCCAGTGTTTCAAGAATTATGTTAAATAGAAATGGTGAAAGAGAGCATCCTTTTCTTGTTCCACGTTTTAGAGGGAATGTCTTCAGTTTTTCTTCATTTAGAATAATATTGGGGGAGCCAGGCGCCGGGCCGAGGAGTGGCGGACGCCATGGCGGCGCCGCTTTGGTCAAAGATGAGCGCGGCACCTGTGAGCGTGGCCCAGAGGCGGCAGTGACGGCGGCAGGGTTTCACTTCTAGAAATCTGGTCTGGAAACAGAAGCAGCAGTTTGTATAATCCAAAGAAYTTRCTTATGCCAGGAAGCTGTAAGGRTAACATGAATATCATTGAGGAGATCCAACATGGCGGCAGGGATGGAGATATCAAGTCTCTGACCTCTTCAGCTGCGCGGGCATAGGGAGCCGTAAATTGTTTAAATGCTGTTTGCTCAGGATCACTAGGCAATGCTGAGCTGACGTGGATCTGGGGCAAACAGTCTGGGCCCCTCAGAACACACACACGGAGCCCGGATCAGCTGCATTCAAACTCCGGTTCACCTGCTT